CACTAGTGAGCCCATAATCAGCTGCCAAACTTTATAAAGGAAACATTAAAATCTTATGTTGCCCACAAATACCATCTGTAAACCACTAATGTCTGCATTAGTTCAGTAACTTCACAGTTACAAAGTTTAATTGACTAATGGGGTAACCTGTGGCAATCTGCTGCTTTGCAGCAGTGTTAGACCTACTGTGAGCAGGAGGAGGAAGTGTTACATAGTAGTTTATCAAGGTTTTAGTCTGTTTTTCTTCAAATGATAGATAAAACTTGAGGGAGAGTGTGCTGGAACAGGCAAATGTTCAGCAGGTAAATAGTGCTTTTTAAAATAGAGACAGAGGCCGTAGTTATCAATTAAACCCTAAATGGTTTAAGGAAAGTGAACTTCATGAAGAACGGCTCTCTTAAAGTTAGAGCAGTGTCCAAATAATTTTACTTACAGATATGGAAACCTTTGACTTGGATACTATCCTTCAGAATAAACTAATAGAATGATTGATATTATGTATGCAATATAGGCCGTGCCGCTCTGCAGGAGTAGAGGAAAAAGCAGTCTCAAGCTATGTATTGAATAAGAAATGTTATGTCTCTTTCTGAAAAGGGAGCTGCAGATTTCACCAGGGGAGCAATGTTAAACAGTAGGAGTGCTTGGGGCTAAAAGTAGAGGGAGAAGAGCAGATGTGTGAGATTGGGCCCTCAGACTGGGCAGGAGGGTTGGGGTGGTGGAGAGGTTGCGGTGCATATGACACAAGTTCAGTTCTGCATACGATTTTTCAAGCTGAGTAAAGCTGTGCTGAGAACTAAGTCTTACCAAAGTGGACAAAAAGCAGGGCCAAGGTCCACTGTGTTGCTTCTCACACCTTCGCAGACTCGGATCTGCCTTGGCGAATTCTGATGCTGTGCTTTGCTAAACCTTTTTCTGAGGTACAGGCAAAGGAGAACTTCTGAAGGACATGAAAAGCAGATGGGAAACAACATGCAAGTAAAACACAAGCTATTTATGCGTTGCTTACTCCAGACTTAATTCTTTCCAATGCTTCTTGCAATCAGGTCACGCTGGTACACCAATGGTTAGTTAATGATGCACTAAGGGTGGAAGAACTGAACTGAGAACAGGAGAGGAAATTAAGCTAGAAAATCTGAAAAATGTAGGCAGTTATTCAAAGGTATTCTTGGAGACAAGCACAACTGAGTTAACAGGGTAAAGGCAAATGGAAGAGGGTGGCTGGTACATGCAGTGAAAGTACCCTGTAGTTGTTTAGTTGTTTTTTTTTTTTTTTTCATTGGGCCTTTTTTTGAATACAGTTGATGTAAGTCAAGCAAGGATACTGTCTGTCTTGTTCATATAGCTGAAATGTAGGGATTTTATTTTCCCTTCATCTCCTTATCACTATCCTTAGTTCCCATCTGTGCTAAAGAAAATGGTTTCCTGACAGGAGAATGTGTTCCTTCTATTATTTAAATGTCCTGTACTAAGATGTATAAACTAACTCTTAAAAGTTTATTCTGTTTTTAAACCATTTTATGACTTCAGAATCTTTAGTATTCATTTGACATTTATCAGTAACCATCATAAATAGATTTAAATATTATAAAATACTGCTGTACTTTAGTGTTTCTCAACTTTTTCAATCCTGTTAATGTCTTGCTTATACCTTAGAAAGATTCACTAGGAGATTGATGCAAATAATTGAAAAAAGATGCAAAAAATATGATGTATTCTTTGCCTCTGTGGCTTCTATTTTTAAAGGCAGAATTCAGTAAAAATTTATTATGGACAACATGTAGAATTATTGGTCTGAGTTATAGTGTTGGTTTGTTTCTGTGTGGTTTGTTAGTTTATTCTTTTTTTTATAGTCCTTAATCTGTTCTTTTTTCTTGTTGTCTGTGTCAAATTACATTGATGGGGAAAGATGGAGATCATAAACTGTAGCTGTTTTGTCTGTGGCACGAGTCTTGCAGACATGTAGACTGGGTTTTTTGTCAGTATGAACCATGAGCTTCATCATCGTCATTGCAGACTTCTAAGTATGGGACTACCCTCAGTTCTTTGTGTTGGTATGTTAGTTTATTTAGTTAGTTAGTTTTTCAATTCCAGTAAGTAACTGTACCAGCATGTTAAAATGATGTTAAAAGGAGATTAATTCCATATTAATCAGATACAGAAATGGAAAAACAGTTATGTATGTTCAGGAATATCAAGAGTTATTTCCTCAGATGAATGAGTACAATTACCTGTACTCATATAAATACTTACTTTTTTGATAAGTGGAGTGTGGTGTTGATATTAGGAAAGAACTCTTTTTCATGGTTAGAAGCATTTGGGGAAGTTAGTAGGTATATTAAAAAAAAATCAGTCCTGTTTCTTCTCTGAATATTGATAATGTACCTTTTAACAAGCTTAAACTTCAAAATATGTAACTGCCTTTATTTGACAATGTAGTTCACACTAGAAAAATGGAATTTGTTACCATGACAGTTGCTTTTCATTTAATGTCTTAGAAGAATATTACTTCATGTTGGGAGAAAAAAATGGTCTTGATTCAAAGGAAATAATAATTTATGCTTGAACACTCACATATTTCTTAGTAGCAGTTCTGTCCTACTAAGAGGATGTTATGTGAGGTAAAAAAGAGACTGGCTTAAGTAGCAGTCATATTGGCCGGCTTGTATGGAACTGCACGTATGACAGAAAATCACTGGAAATTGTGCCAGCCAGGAGCACTTTTCCCCCCTGTAGGATAGGTTAGGAGTAGTTAAACTGCTCTCAATGCTTCGAGAGCTTTCACATTTTGTTTGCAGTATTACTTGCTAGTCACTAAAAGCCCTCCTAAACAGCCAGCTATGCAGCATTTTTCAGAATGCAAATGTGATAGCTGAGGCATTCCTGGGAGTTCTGACCTCTACTCCTTCCCTGAATTTATTTTTGTACCTAGAGAAATAATCAAGTTGAAACAACATTTAGGAACACACATCTGATTTCCAGAAATTATTTCTGGGTCAAGGTTTGTACAGGTGTCAGATGACTGCCACATGTACTCAAAAATAATACTGTAATCTTTTTGCCATTGAATTTTACTAGAAATGAGGGAGAAATTGAACCTAAATCCAAGAGGTGTATCCCAGTGTACATTAATACAGGAACTATAGTTAAAATTAATTGCATAGGAAAAGCTTCTACTTGCTGTTCTGGATTTGTGATCTCATATTCTCTTTTAGAAAATTTGTCTAGCCTCATGACAAATTTTTTCGTATTAGATTGTTTTCGTTCAGTGGCAATAGACAACAAAATTTGTCAGAATGTATTGTTTACAGTCTCGTGATCTTTAGAAAAATACTGAATGCTTTTCTGGCATGAAAACTGTTTCCCCAAAGGCTTGTATTTTTGACATTTAACAGCTTTTGGTAGACATAAAATGTGACTTGGAAGAAAAAAAGTTTACTCCGACATTAGAAAATTTATTTTTTGTAAAAGGCTTCATGTATCTAGGAAACTGACACCCAGAACAAATTTGTGGTGATGTGATGGAGAGTATATCAGTTCTTATTGATTGCAAGTTTGCTGCTTATTGCTTATTATATTAAAATAAGCATGGGCGAAGACCAGGAAAAAAGACTGTTTGTCTTGTCTCTGTTGGTTAGCACTAGGTCAGATGGAACAGTCTGGACAGGAAAAACAAAACAAAACAAAACCAACAACCAACCAACCAACACCAAAAAACACTAAAACCCAAAACCACCAACAAAAAAAACCCAAACCCCAAACAACAGAACATATTCAACCAGGAGGACTTTACGGGTGTCTAGCAAAGGCAAGTCTAGAGGAGAGAAAACAACAACACAGGACCTATGGCACAGCCAGCTGTTTGGTATGCTTTTTTCAAATGAAATGACAGAAAGACTCTAGGTTGGGAAAGAAAGAGTTAATCTTGGTTTGTTGTGACTCTGAAGGCACCAAAGTTAGTGTACTGAGAGCTATCCTTAAGTATAGGATCTTGCAAGAAGGATTAGCTTATAAAATAATTTACTTTTCATTTGACTCAACTTTGAATTAAATAGAGTTTGTCTCAAACTAGAGTATTTGATTTTGAGCTCTAACATATTAAGATGTAAATTTAGACATGAAATTCCATATTTTGGTGTGCTCACTCGGAAGAGAAGATTCAGAAGAGTGGGCAGCTCAAGGTCTGGTTACAGTGTGTTTTACTTGTCTTGGAAAAGATGCCAGTTACTTAATAATTTTGAATCTAGAACATAAATTGTCAGAGAGTGAAGCAGGATGCAGGACATTATACTTGGTATGTGACCACATGAGGAAAATGTATTGGGGGGATAATAAAGGTGTTAGGAAACCAGGAGTTTAAAGACAGAGGGTAGGAACTGGCAAAGGGTGTAAACACATGGGAAATGGGTTAGTGTGATTAACAGTATTTTTGAAAACCAGCATTTTTCAAAAAGGTGGATTCAGGAGCCTTCCCAATTAGAATGCTCAGAAAAAAAACCCATAAGATGTTCTCTAACTTTGCAAATATTCCAGTCATCTGGGTATGACCACACTTAGGAGTCACTAAAGTCAGTCATTCTCTCCTCAAGCTCTGTGTTACCTAAGTTTTTGCATCAGGCAGGACTCACTTGGGTTTAGAGTAGCCCCAGAGATTGATCTTAATTTTGGTGGCAAGTACTCTGTTTAAGCTGTATTATACCAATTGGGTCTCAAATATATTTAGTTTCTTAAACGATTGTAGTCTTGAGGGGAGAGGCAGGCATGCAGTGAGCACCAATACTGGAAATAAAAATGGAAGAAAGTTCTTGTATGAGAGCAATGTACTTGGAGGAGGAGGCAAAATGTATCAGGATTGATGATTTGCTTTTTGTGGTTTTAATGGAAACATTAGTTTGTAGAAATAGAGCAGCTGATAGATGCTCCAGTGACGGAGATGCATTCTGCTAAAGAAATTTTGGATGTCAGTTATAGTGTGTGAATACTGTCTTCTTTTTCTTCTGCAGTGATCTAGAAAAAAATAATATCACAAGAATCACGAAGACGGACTTCACAGGACTGAAGAATCTCCGTGTCTTGTGAGTATAACACAAAACTTATCTTTCTTTACAAGACTGTTTTACAGTGGTGGTGATACCAAGAATGTCCATAATTCTAGACATCAAATGCCAGTAATTTCGGTACATTATTCATTAGTGTTCTTTTAAATCAGGCAACTGGAACAATTTGTGATGTGAAATACTGCATTTCAGTTCTATGCTGAAGTCTGAACGTGGCTTCAGAGCTATTTAGTTGTTTGTGTTTCTCACTGGCTTTTAATGAATAGTAAAAATTTTGATCCGCTTTACAGTCACTTACGCATAAATCAATTCTACTGAAACACTAGCAAATAGGACTTTCAGGTTTTGGTCACCTTAAAGTACAGTCCCATTAACAGCCCTTTTGCAGAAGATTAAGCAGAACTTGATTACGGGTAGCTGCAGAAGTTGTACACAAGGAAACATGTGAATTTTTTAGTCTAATATGAAGTAATGAATACGGAGATGTTTAGGTGGTGCTGTTCCTTGATCTAAAAGTATCAGTTACAGTTTAACTGTACTTCTAAATGGGCCTTGAACATCAAAAGGGGAAACATCAGTCTACAGAATCTGTCATTACTGATTTGCTATTTTTTACTTCTGTGAACCTCAAATGGCACCACTAAATTAAGGATGAAAATTAGGACTTATTCTAGTTATATACAGACCTTTTTTTTCTTAAGAAAATAATCATAGGTTAAAAGAACAGGAAGTAGATTTTGAAGCCATTTCAGTCCTTTCAGGAAAGGTTGGACGGACTTCCTATTTAAAATGATTTATTTTTTCCCTTTGAAATGTCTCTAACAGTTTTTCTGTATTACATCAAGTAGTTTAGATCCCCTTCACATCAACGTGGAGGCAGATGTAGATATCGATGCCTTTGACAGAAATACTGTGGGAATCCAGTGTTTGCTTTGTGAAAATTAAGTTAGTTGTATTACTCCTGTATGTAAACCCAAATATATAGCTTTAAATATTTGGGCATACATGGGGGGGGGGGGGGGGAGCGGGAAAGGTCAGATGAGAGAAACAAAGTAGTTTTCAATGTAATGTACTGAATTACTTGAGGCTGACCTCTTAGGTTCTTAGCGCTTCTGGAGGTCTCATTTAAAGTAACTGTTGGTTTCTGCCTTCACTGGGTCTAATTTGGGCATCAAGTGCTGCTGTAGCGATGCAAATTTGCAAGTTTCTCAGTGAGAAACATTGCTGTGTTATCAGGGAGATTATATATGCATGTGTGGAGATCTATATGTTTAAAAGCAGTGACTGAGATGTTTCAGAAACATTTCCAATAAAAACATGAAAGGTATGTATTTATGTTAACAGTAACCAATGGATAAAGTTCAAATTTCGAATTTTACTTAAAAAAAAAAGGAAGAATTGGTATCTAGTTCTGTTCATCAGGTGCCATTTACATAACAGTGACTACATTCTGTGTGTGTGTGTGTGTGAGATGGAGTTCACTAACAGTATTTTACTGAACTGCTGAGCTTAATTCCAAGTTTTAGTGACTAAGACAAAAGATCTGATCTTGAGTTGGTCCCAGCACTGACAGAGGCAGGCTGGTTTTACCACCCTGTTGACCTTTTCTTCCGAAACAAACAGCTATCAGATGTTAAACACACAAGTAACCTCATCAGCACCCCCTGAAAATTCCTTTCTGTATTTCTGAAGGTTGCCCTCTGCAGTCAGTGGTTTCCTTTGAGTATCTTCTAAAGTCTTTAAAACTGCAACCGTTGAACCGTTACAGTTATTTAGTGATAATTCAATCAATGAATTAATTGAATACTGCCAATGAAAAGGCAAGTCTTTTCTCCTGCTACCGTAACACTTTTGAACAAGTTGTCATATGCTAAGAAAACATTTCAAGTCTTATTGGAAGACTTTCTGTTCTGTGATGTTTCTCATCTCTAGCAGTGGAGACATTTAGATTTCCTTGGCTCCCATCCCAACTGTCAATACCATTTTGAAAGTCTATTAAAACACATGTACTATACGATCATTAATGTCAGTAGTTCTTTTGGTTTGGTTGGTTTTTTATAGTGTCAGACATTGCCTGATGCCCCTGCAGTCATTCATACTGAATGCCCTTAATAAGCGAAATATGCAGCTGCCATCTTTACAGGAATGTTTTGTTCTGTGTTTGTTACAGGTTTGTGTAATGCTGTTGTTCAGCCTTTGAGTAGTGTGGTGTTTGCCACAAGTCATTAGGAATAAAACCATAATACACCTATTAAAATATATGGGGTTTTTATATTTTTTTTTTTCCAATGTATGAAGACCATCTGAAACCCAAGGCATGCCATTTCAGTGTCTGCTACATACCCATTTTTATTCACTGTTGTGTATTTCCCTATTCTGCATGTTCCTGTCCTATCTGCTATGTGTTTGTGGTTTTTCTTACTTTATTTTGTGCAGCTTTTTACTTTGTGCACTCTTGCTCTACAGAATTCCTTCAGATTTGTCTTATTTTTTCTTTGCTTTCTCTTATGGTCTCTTCATAATTCTGGTTGTTCTACATTACTGACACCCTCTTTCTTTTTTTTTTTTTTTTCCCCATGTGTGATAGGGATATAGTGGGAAGCACAGAAACTTAAAACCTGTCCCAGAGTTCCTAGAAAGGTAGTCTAGTTCTGTTTTTATACGTCAGAATGAGGACAATAAACAAGTGATCTGGAAATTGGTAGAGCAGTACAACAGAAAAAAGCTTCCAGAGAGCATACATGCAAAATATTTTTTCTGTGCACCTTCTCCTTTTCTCTTATAACCTGATTTTCACCTTTCCTCATGCAGTTTTTCTTCCCCCTCCTTTTTGGAACATGCCCCTTTGGTTCTCATGTTTGGGGGTTTTAATTATATTTTTTTCGCTTCCATATGTGGTTTTAGCCATGGCATACTCTCTTGCTGTCCATCTTCTCAACTGCTCTCCAGTTGAACAGCTGTGAGCACCCTCATAGATAAGTGCAGAGGAGTGGCTGTTGAGAAGAGGCAAGAGTAGTCCATTTTCCCTAGTTAGTCTTGGCTGGGCCGAGGCTGTTACGTTCTTCCTTTCTGTGTTTTAGCTAAAGCAATGTAAAATGTGCGGAGAGCCTAGAGATTTAGTCCATGCATCTGAGTGCTCTTAGAGAAGCAGAAAATGGGTGTGTGCTGGAAGGCAGCACTGAGAGAGGAAAAAGGTCAGCTTAAATGGGACTATTGGTATTCCTCTTCCTTGGCTTCCTCTTTACCTATAAAGAACATTTTTGCTGTGTAAATGAGTAGGCATTTCTTGCACAGTGTAAATGAAAGATAAGTCAGTCTCCATTGCTTATATCTTACCCTTGTCCCAGTCTCAGGAGGTGAAGAAAAGTAGCGTCAGCCCCAATGGAAACCTGGGACTTTTCCCTTAGGTTTTTGCACCCTGTTGTAAGTGGGACTGTGTATACATAGAGTTGTCACACAGAGCTGCCATGGTTGTATTTTGGGAGGGATTGAGCCCCTTTGGATTACTTACAAATGGTTTATTCTGAGCAAGCATGAAATCTTTGCAGAACGTAAAGTCTGGACCAGGAAATATGTTGACATTGAGTGGGTTCCTGCTGTGGGCTGGAAGAGTTATCACAATTACATTACATAAACTAAGAGTAGTATAGTAAGGATATAACAATCAGTGTCTAGACCAACACCTTTCTGAGCATAATAGTTCTGGTTATAAAAGTTTAGAAACAAAAATGTTTACCAAATCTGTCAGTCAGGAGGCAGTTTTGGAATAGGTTTCCCACTGGTGACCAAGAGAAGCAGTGCTTCTTCTGTCCACAGTGCTTTAACAATCTCTGATTATAACTGTTATTGGTACTGTTATGAAAAGCAATTTTTTAGTATGTGTGAAGGGAAGTGGGGAAATTCTTTTATTCTGTTGCCTTAAAACTAACTGGTATTTCTGGAATTGCAGACACTTGGAAGAAAATCAGATTAGTGTGATAGAACGTGGAGCGTTTCAGGACCTAAAACAACTTGAGCGGCTGTAAGTATCTCTATATACCGATGGAAAATCTACATTTTTTCCACCTCACTGCTAATGGTCATTCATAATATTTCATGGTTATAAGATTAACTTCCTTAAAGAGAGAGATGGGTACCTGCCTAAATTAAAATATTCTCTTAAACACGGTTGAATTTATATTGCATGACATCTAAACATAGTTGAATTTATATTGCATGACATGTAATACTTGATATAAAATGTACAATTGCTTGCCAAGAAAATAGAACTGTTGGTGACACCAGAGTTGTAAAAACATTTTCTGGGCAAGTCTTAAAATTGATATGTAGCAGAAGAAAGATTTGTTAATTGTAATTTAATATTATTATACATATATATTTCTATTTATTTATATACATACATAAATATTTATGCTCGTGGAAGTTGCAGTGGATTCCTTTGAGAACCACAGAATTTTTAAAACTGCTTTTAGACTTAATTTTCTGATTAGCTTAATTTCATTTGAAGTTGCATAATTCCACTGATACCAGTGGTTTCCAGGATATAATGCAAAGCATAGTGGAGGAAAGGCAGTATATTTTTGCTGCTTTTGACGGCAGTTACATTTATTTTTTTTCAAGGAGGTGAATATAAGATGTCTCTTAATCCAGAGTCTGCTTTATAGAAAACTACTGACTCTGCAAGAGTATGAACTTACATCTCAAAAAGTACTGAAGTCATGCTATGTCCAGTTGCTACTCGCAGTTGACTGTACTGTGTAGCATTATCATGAAGCTAGCTTAATTTGTCTGCTTATGATGGGAGCAGAACAAAATCTCTGTAATACTTGAAATACTTTTGGGAACTACTTCTTGTTAGAGGTAGGTGACTAAAAAAAATCACATGCTGGTTTGGAATGCCTGTTTGTTAGATGGAGAAGCAGGTTTATTTATGCTTGATAACTTACATTCAAAGCATTTGTTGTAGAACTTGGTATTTTCTAAATGATGTGTTCTGAAGCAGCTTTCAAGAGCAATTGTTCAAGAGAAGTCTGGAGCATTGAGCATATGCTGTACTAAAACTGTTTCAGATGATCTCAAGATTAGATTTGCATTTAAGATGTTTAACTAGTGTGTTGAACTTTTGAAATTAATTTACTCAGGATTTTTGTCTTACATTGCAAAGCTCCTTTTACGTCAGTAAAGGAGATGAGTTTTAAATTTTGATCTTAAGTCCTTTTTACCTATATTCAATTAGAAAGCACTTTCAGATCAGATTTTTGCAATAGCTGATTTATTTCATGTTTCTTGGGCGTACAAAATAATAACCAGCCTAATTTCCCAAAATTAAGCCTAGCCTGATGCTGTAGAAAACAGCTTGTTCACGTTACAGCTCATCTTTGAAAACTGGTATCCTAACTACTAAGTCCTAGTTTTAAGTTAATTTAATATATATATGTGTGTTTATATATATATATCTGTATATAAATACATCTTTCTCATACCTCTATTTATATAAAGATAGATTTTGTTAAACTACAAAATGAGTTTTGAAAAAATCTGGGTGAAAGGTTAGCAATTAGTAACCAGAAATGATACTCAAGTGTCACCTTAGCGTGTTGTTTTTCTGTAGAGCGAGCTCTGTTAACAAATTAATGTATTTTGTGAAACCAGAAATTAGGAAATATACCACCTTTAATAGTGTCTTTTTAAGTATGTGATGTTTGAAATTCTTACTACTTTTTTCCTGTGCGAACTCTTAACTTGGCCTGTTAAACATACTACATCTCTGCTTTTCTTTTAGGATCGCCTGTCATTAAAATATTTCCTAAATTAATGTAATATGAAAGGGAGGCCTGGAAACTTAAAATTTTTTGGTATTTTAGCTTAAATCATTTTTAGGACAAAACTATAAATCTTTTTTTTTTTTTTTTTGCTATGAGTCAGTAGGCTTTGGAGATTGAACTGTGGAAAGTTTGGCGTAACTTATAAAGGCTAAATTGCAACATTTTAGGTAATATTAAAGCTATTTTATTAAGTATTGTCAAGCATTGCAAAATGTTAATGAAGAAAGTATGCTGGTTCAATATTAAAAAAACTGGCTTTTTTCCATTTAATTTCTTTCAAATAACAAATAAAAGTTGCTTATATTGCTTAGATTTTCAAATAATGTTCTTTTTTGATCTGCTGAAGTAGATGCAAAAGTAATCGTTAACTTCTTTCTGAACAAAGCAGCCGTATTGTGTCAGACTTTAAAAAACGAGTAATTTCTATTCCTGGCAAAATACCATATATATAGGTCTTTCATTCAAAGTAACAGTGGAAGTACATTAATCCACTCACTGCTTCATGGTAATCATTGAAAGGGCATAACCTTAGGTGAATTTTATTTTAGTTCAATATTTTTTCACTTGTCTGGATATTGAAGGAAGTCCATCCTTATTAACTGAGTAAATTAGCAGAATTTTGTTTGAAATGTTCTGCATAACAGTCTAAGTAAATCTTAAAATATCTGTAGGGTTGTTAACCACTGCTGCCAAAAGCATCATGATGATGGCTCTCCAATTATTTAGATTTCACTCTGGTTTTGAATTTTTTTTTTTTTTGGGTGGGAGATGAATGCTCACAATACCAATGGAGCATTTAAAGGCATTATTTAGATATAGGGCGGGATATTGTAAACACTGTGTAATAGCTTAATGAAGTTTGGTAGTATCAGTTGAAGGAAGCACATAATGCAAGGTATGTTAAAATGACAAAGAGTACAAAGTTGAGAAATCATATGGAAGGTAGAAATCATTTCTTACATTGGCATATCCATACTCAGCTTTCCAAGTGTGTAGAAATTTTAATGATTGCCTCTTAGCAAAATTCAGTGGTTTTAGTGTAAGTTATTCTTATGAGTCCTAAGACTGAGAAGTCTTGAGAATGACTAGTGGTACTCACCACAGCGGAAAACCAGAAATGTTTCTAATGGTTTTATTCCAATAAGTTTCTACAGTTTTATTTCAAAACATAAAGATTAGTGGTGAAGTAGCTAACAATAAAAAGTCAAGCAATTAAGAGACAGCATTAATAGATACCAATGGTGCATTCAGCTTCCTACCTTCTACTTGTTGCACTGTTGTTGAGCCCCAAACAAACCAATGATGCTCTTGTGTCATGCCACAGTCAAGCGCGTAGAGCCTATGTGTCCATGTGACTTAAGTCTGAGGTGCCAGAATGACTTGGGTATGTCTCCTCTCAGGCTTGGTAACTTCTCCCAGGCTTCTTGAGGTCTAAAGTGCTTCTTTCCAAAAAATAACGCTAATTGATGTTGAATTACAGACTTTTCAGGACAAATATATGCATCTGTTCAAGGGAAATCTGCTGCTAAAACCTGAAAGTGCCAGTTATAAATTTTGATAGTCTGCCCTCCTTGCCAGTAGCAGGGTAACAATTTTAGCACAACACCTGGGCCTGTTGGTGTGTGGAAGTTTTCAGAAGTTGTAGTTCTTTATTTTTAGTTCCCTTCTGCAGTTTTTTCCTACTAGTTAAGTGGAAAACGTCTGACTTTGATCCTCTTTCCTGGTTTTGTTTTTTGTGGTTTGAAGTAGCCTATACAGAGTTCTATACTGGCACAATATGTTATACCCACATTTATATTTTAGTATTTCAGCTGTATGCTTTGCTACTAACACAGTGTATGATTTTACATATGGAATTTCATAATAATTTTATCTTAAAGAGGAGCAGGAAGAAAGAGGCATACTTACTGGTGGGCCTAAAAGATGAACTGAAAGTTCTTCCAGAGCCAGATGTATGTCACACATATATGTGAAAAATGAGGCAGGATATAAGACACCAAGTGATCCTGACTTTTCCACGGCCAACTGCCAGAAATTGTCACGTAGCTGTATTATCTTCAAAAGCCTGGACTTTGGCTGATGGCTGGTTCTTTCTACTCAAATTAGTGTCTTTAGCTAGCATAAAAGATCTCAACATCTGAAAACACTAAAAATGTGTTTTTGTTGTTTAGAGGAGGGGGGAAAAATGTATAAGCATGGCCAAATCAAATCTTTTCGAAGTTGGGAAAAATAATTAGCTTAAAAAGCCAAAAGAAAAAGGAAAAAAAAAAAAAAGCTAGAATCCAGATTTTAACCCTAGCATACATATGTATGGTTTTGGTTTTGTGCATGATAAAACAGATGTCAAAATGGGATTTGTACTTGACCTTTAATGGCAGTCGCTTCTGTGCATTGAGTCTTTGTAAGCAGCTTCCTAAATGCTTAAGGTATTAAAGTATATTTATTTGGCATAATGTACTGTAAAACTGCTATTAGTGACCAAAGATGCTAAGGAGAAGAATAAATTTTCATGTGATCCTTCACAATCTGGATTTCATAAATCGAGATTGAACAGGCTTTAAATAAATCATGTAATACAAAAAGCATCTTCCATAATTAACATGCTGAGTGGAAAGATTGCTAAGTGCTTCAGAGTAGCAGGCAAAATAATAAAAGCATTGGACAGTTCTTTGCTGTTGTAAACAAAAGCTTATTGCAGATCTTTGGTAGCATGGACAAATCTATAGTGTTTATGTAAGTTTGCAGTGTGTGCAGTTTAGAAGTTTTTCTGGAACTGCATACACTACACATTTATGAAGCCATATGGATATGTAAATATGTAAGACAGTTTGAATGTAGCCTTTCAGAAAAAAGCTTTGTTTTGTGTCTCCATTTCCCTGTGACTATGGATAACATGATTCGAAATCAGTGATCATAAAATGCTGGAGAACAAAGACATGCTAAAATGGATTTAGAGCTGTGGTCTGATATCTAGTCAACTTCATTACTTGCATACTTCCCTCTTCCTTCTCAAGCTATCATATATAAGTTGGTGTAGTACCAGGTTTGCTAACAAACTCCCCAGGAACGGGCGGTGCTTTAGGAGTGAGAAATGATAACCTGTGGCCTTACCCTCTGAGGAGGGTGTGAGTGATAAATTGGGGCTGCTAGAGGCATCGTGAAGCTCCTGTGTCTTTGCATTTTGGAGGGATGGATT